TTCCTTTAAAATATGCTAATGAGGGGTTGCAGGTCCTCCACCTTTGGGACATTGGGGATTAGTTTATTCTTTATTGGGGGCAAGTATGTGTAGTAGAATCACTGTCCTGGTTCACTAGACACCAGCAGTGTCCACATTTCATAGCTGCGACAATCAAATAGGTATCTAATGTTACCAGTGGAGGGGGAAAAAGTTCTACTTTAAAGGAACCAACCTAGGACAAATTAATGAAGTACTACTTTCCATGTTAAAGCAACAGACTGTACAAACTGGGAAAATATGAGAAGTTTCAAGAAGAATTGGAAACCACACACAAACCCATACACATTACTCAGCCCTAGAGGAATAAAGTTTCAAAAAGAGATGTGGGATTTCTATCCATTTGTAATTTTGATGTAATAAAGCCCCTTTCTGAGGCTACCCTCAGATGAAGTGAAGAATTAAATTACGTGTATGATCAGACCACTTCGTAGGAAATCTGAAATGCTTTCGTATTCTAAAAATCCAATTATAAATGAACCCTGTAGCAGGCACACATTTCACATCAGTCCTGGGGTGGCACTGTGTTCCGGAAAATGTTCCTGAATCTCCTGCACTACAGTACCACCATGTTGTCCAACATGGATATTCTCAGGCTTCATCTCTAAATCTTAATTTTACATTTTAAGGTAGTAAGTACACACCCATAAATTTAGCAATCACTCTAACTGCAAACTCGTGGTCAAGTGGAAAGTGTCTTGAAATATGAGAGAGAAGGTTAAATTCCTTCTGGCTTTGCCTTACCTCAAATCAACATTAGGAATAAACTTACAGGTTATGTAGAATTCTTTATGAGGATAATTATAGACTGCATATTACACTAATATTTGTTATAGCGTAAATATAAAATGTCTCTCAACAGCCTCATATTCAAAGGTGGGGCCTAATAAGAAAGGGGAGAGAGGTCACAGGAGGTGTGACCTGGAGAGCAGGTTCATTGTCACAACCTTTTACTTTCTCTGCTTCCTGGCCACAGTGCTGTGAACTGATTTCCTCACTATGCCATTCTGCCATGAGGTTTCTGCCATGGAGTCAACCAGTCATGGATTCATGAATCCACTGAAACTGAAAATAGAAATAAGCTCTTGCTTTAAGTCATGGGTGTTGGGTATTTTGTCCTAGAAATGGGAAAACTGACTACCAATATACAGCCTTGCCCAAATGGAAAATTTTATCTGAGAAATCAAGTGTAAAAAATTTAACTAAGTGTCGCTTCAGAACCAGTATTTCTTGTAATAGATCCCCAGTTATTTCTGATGAATTTTTGCTAAAGCTTCCACACACCATTGATCATCCATGGTGAGACACAACAGGGTTATGCTCAGCCATGCGGGATGTTAAACAGTCCCGTACATTCAAAAATGACAGGCCATTACAAAGATAATACTCATTCCATTTCCTGTTCAATTACATGGAAGAGATATTTACTAATGCCACAGAGAAAATATTTACTTCTGCTATAACAGCTATTGATGCATCTGCAAGATTTTTGAACCTAGCTATTTTGTGGGTTTCTATCTGAGTCAGACTGAGTCGTTGCAACAATTCACCACAAAACGAGGGGCTTATAAGCAGGAGAAATTTATTTTTTACAACTCTGGATGCTGGAATTTTGAGGTGAGGGTACAGCTTAGTCGGATTCCGGCGAGGGCCCACTTCCAGCTTCCAGATGGTTGACTGACTTCTATCCTCTGATGTTAGAAAGAGACCAAGCTAACCCTTCTTACAGGACACTAATTCTCTTCACAAGAGTTCCATTCTCACGACTTAATTATCTTCCCAAGGTTATAGCTCTAAGTAGTATCACATTGAGAATTAGATTTCAACATCTGAATTTTGAGGGAACACAGGACTCAGTTCATAACAGTTTCTGTTTCATATTATGTGCTTTACAACCTAAAAACCTAGTAAACTGTCTTCATTAATTGGCTCTGAGAATTTCTCATCAGGTGGTATTCTATGTACTACAAATGTGACCGTTTTGGGTTAACCAGGTCACCTTGTCAACCTTGGATAAAGTCCACAAGCTATTTTCATTTGGTTCTCCCTCCATTGCTTTTCCTAATAGCCACTATATCCATCAAACGTTTGTTTGTCTCCATCTCCCATCCAGGTCTCCATCACACATAGTTTCAGGGTGTGGATATGATGCATAAGCACATTTTACTTCCTGAAGTAAGTAGGTGGAGCCAACCGGCCCCAGATCCTGAGTGATAAGTGCCATACAGTCTGTGAGCTTCTCATTGACGAAACTGAGATAAAGCATGGTAACAGAGAACTTGACTAATTTAAGACACTCCACTTAAACAATCTCAAGTATTGGGGTCTACTTGTTATGAACTGTACAGATTCTAGGACTTCTTCTTCAGATCATCTAAGACAAGCCTGAGAACATCCATTTTGAAAAATCTTCCTGGTGATTATGACATGAAGAAAGTTCTAGAACACTACTGAGAAGACAATGTCCATAGAGGACTGACACAGGACAGAGTTGTGAGAAAGAACTTTGCAACTCATAAACTCAAATTAAGGTTCAATATTTTGATCTTAAAACATATAGTTTACTAAACTTTGCTTCGACCATTATTCCAGACATCCATGGAAAAGTTAATTAACTGTACATACGCCATGCCTTAATTATATCTTAAGTGAGTTTCAAGCCTATTTAAGTGACATAAGTTTGTCTTTATGAATGTTTGCCATTAACAGTTAGTTGGTAGTGTATTATACCCAGATACCGTTGTAAAAATCACTTTGTGAACTTTTGTCTTGTGAACTTTTGTCTTTGTTATGGCCTCAACAATTAACAACTGATTATATACACCTAAAACTCAGAGCTAAATACTACACTTTAAGAAAGACAAAATTGTATTCAAATTACTATAATCTTTTATGGGTTTAAGGCCATCTATGCTAATCTTATGCAGTCATCATCATCTCACTAGGGACTCCCCGCCTCGCCAAAAAAAAAGGAAAAGAAAAATCTCCAGTGCCAATATACTCAGAGATCACTTAAGAAATCCATTTAGAAGCCTCAGGTTAAGAACTGCTGATTTGGGAATAAATTTCTTTCTTCTGAGTGACACATGGGTTAGAAAATGTATGGAATCTTTATGAAAGTAAACTCTTAGAAGCCAGTGAGACCAAACCATCCCATAATGTAAATCATGAAAGCGTTTTACAAATGTGTCATTCTGACATGTCCCTGCCAAACAAAGAGACTGTCACTGAAAACATCTAATATTCTAGATGTTTTAGAGCCTTATATTCTAGGTTCATATTTATTCAGTTTGTTAAATTGAGCATCTAATCCACAAGCCTCCTCTGTAAAAACCTTTCTGCCAAATTCTATAATCTGACACTTAGAATATATTTCTAGATTCTTTGCATGAGCATAAAACCCAATAGTAAGCACAATATTTATTTCTATTTTACAGGAAATATTAATAAACTTGTTCAAAATTCTATCCATTCAGAATGAGAAAATGCAAAGCTATCCTTAATATTTGGTATTAAAAGTCATGATTTTATTAATTTTAAAAAGAGAAAACAAATCTATACACAACATACAGCAAATATCAAACACTTTTCTAGATACTTACACAGCTAACCAAAAACATCAGGTAACTCGAGTTAATTTTTATTTGGCTTGAGACTTCTTTAGGTGTTCTTTAGGACTTCTTTAGGTGTGTTATTTTTTTGGAAGTAGTAGAATATGGGGTTGGGGGAAGAAAAAGGCTGCAATCTAACAATCTAACTTCTCAAATCCTTGCCTATTTTACTGCCCAATTTTCCTTGCATCTCCAAACATAGTGGCTAACAGAGCAGGAGAGCTCTTCAAGCAGCAGGGCCTGCCAACTGACCAACAGTGTGTATCAACACAGAACTAAGTTACCACTTACCAGCATTGATATGCTAGGCCTGAGTCTTTACTAAGAGGAGTACTTCAGAGGCCACTTTAAGGATTTAATATAATAGAGAGAAAGTGGCTAAAAGGTCTGGATCATTGAAAGTTTTAAATTGTAAGAGTACCTTAGTAGCTCCTGTTAACCACTATTATTAAAAGTATACATTCCAACACTGGAGATGATCATTTTGTTGGCTTGGACCACCTAGCACTGATTTGAACAGCAATGTCTTAATGTATTATTGCTAATGGTACTGCAAAAAAAAAAAAAATTACCTTTTAAAATCTCTTCAACTCCTAGAGACAGGAACCCCTCATGAAGTAAACTCATCTAAGCTTATTTATCCAGAAAGAATCCTGCAAGCCTCTGATCAAGTGGTATTAAAACACGTAAGCTTCACTCTCATTTCTACTCATTTAAATTAGTGTTTCGTTCCTCTCTAAATCTTACTGGAGGTAATAATTCGCCTCTGTTTGTTAATCTACCATCCCTAGGATTACAAGTAGAGGAATTGACATAAAGCAGACTTGCATTTTACATTTTGATATGGAAATAAGTGTAAAAATAAACAGACAGAATAAAGATACAGGATCACAATGAGACAGCCGTGGAGCACTCACCTCTCCTTTCCCAGTCAGTATTGGTGGATCCTCTTACAGGCAGTAAGTAACACTGCTGAAACTCCCTTATCCCTCAACACCTCAGAAATATCACGACTTTCAAGAGAGCACAGAGTATGTAGATCCAGGGATACAGAATAACGCACCCCTCCTTTGTTGAGGGGAATGAATAGGAAAATTAAAGACAAGAAGTTGTGACAGGTGCTTTCACCTGACACTCATTTACAGAAGTGCTACTTTTGACCCCAGGCAGAGAGGTCTGCTAGAGCAAATCCTAATTCCTCCTACTCCATTCTGGCTCCCCCTGGGCTACACTTGAGCTTTCCCTTACACTGCATCATTTCCCTTAAGGGTGCAGGTGGACAATGAAACAGCAAGAAGCTCAACTATCTTGAGAGTACAACACGGGCCATCCCAGAGCCCTGCCTCCTACCTGCAGAATCTGCTCCATCAGCCGGCACACTCTGGCTTGACGTCGGGGCAGGTTCCTTGACTTCGTGCACCTGGGCAGCTTCTTCCTGGTTTGCCAAGAATGTAGAGCACAATTCAGATTCAAGGGCTTGAAGTTTCAGCAAGGAATTCTGCCAGCAAAAGCAAAACATCAGGCCAGCTAAAGTAGATACAGAGCACACAACAGTGGTCTGCAGCTCCCACTGGCACCTTTCCCCAGCACCGGCAAGGAAGAAGGTCCTGCCTGCAGCTGCTTCTGCAGAGAAGCTGGTTGTGCCTGTATCAGATGGGCATTATTCCACATGCAGTCTCAGTTTCTGCCTCATTTAAATCCCAATATGTATGGATTATCGGTGACACATGGGACCGGTGATTTCATCAGTGAGAGACGCCTGCATCTGGAGGACCAATCTTGAAAAGGTAACTGCTTTCCAAGTGCCGAGGCTTTACGCTTTGCAAGTGCTTCATTCATTGCACTGACATCGGGAGCGGATGACATTAGGCCCCTCCCAGGCTACCATTCATAAAAGCTACTGTCCCTCCAAGGCAAAGACTGCAGCAAGCCGCAGTGCACAAAGAGTTACTGCTGCAGAGGCTGCTTGGCATCTGGGAGGGGCTTGTGGGCTCCCTGAGCCATGCTGTGTGTGTCTGTCTCCTAAAGTTACTTTCCTCACGTGGACTAGGATGGCTGCAGCTGCCTTGTATCAAGATCAAGGGAAGCAGCCCCGCTCCCTTAGCCACTGAGGGAGAAGCAGTTAATCTTTCATAGCCCAATGCAACCTCCTGCCCACTTCATTACTCATTTTAAATTTCTCCCATGTTCTTAGTAAGAACAGGTCATACAGACTGACGCACATTATCTGCCGTGATGCAGATGCCCAGCAAATTGATTTCCCCAACCAGGTGAAAATGAGTCATACCTGAGCCTGGGGGTGGGTGCTGCTGCTTCATAGTGGAAAAGCTCTGCAGGGGTCAGAAGCTCCTCCATCCACTCAGCAACAGCTCTGACTAAGGTGTTTACAGGGAGCAGAACAAGTGGTCCTTCTCCTACTGTCTTCTGCTGTACACATTCTCCCCTGTACGTACCCCGTTTCCCATACACCGGCACCCTACTTCACAGCTCCGCCCCGACTTCACAGACAACCTCATTCCCTCCACGCTCATGCCCTACTGAACACACACACACACACACACACACACACACACCATATCCTCATGCTCTACCTACCACACACTCATGCCAACCACCACTCTTCCTTCTATTGCACATGTACAACCCATTTTTCAGTGCCCTACATTCCCACCTATACTTCCTACATACTCAGCACCTTAACACCCACCCCCCACCTCTTCATGCCCTGCCCCCCAGACACACACACATCTCTACCCCACCCGCAACCTCACACCTTGTCTCACTTAAATATCTACTATAACAATATCTACTATCATAGCCCAACCCCCTCCCACACAGTACCAACACACACACACATGCATGTATACACATACCCTCTTATCTACTCTGTGGATGTAATGTGTGAACTTATAGTTCTAAAAGCTCAGTCTTAAATCTGTTGTGCTCAGCCATTCTGATAGCAGCAGGCATCATAGTCAATTCAGGATTCCCCCTCTGCTGTGCCTGGACAGGGCAGTATCTGACACAAACTTTGTCAGGCCTCAAAGGCTGCTGCTGGAAAGCCACAGCTCCCATACAGTACCTGCCCTAGACGGGGACATTTTATGGCATCCTCCTCCTCTCCGGGATGTTTTCCCAGCAGCTGAGTGTGGAGCAAGAGCTAGAGGTTACTGACAGGAGATGCAGAAGGAGCAAGGGCACCACATTTCTGGAAGGATTTATGAGACAGTAACCAGCCACCTGGCAGGTAAGAAGAACAATTTCAGGCAAGCTTTTCCCTGTAGGGCCTAGAAATGTAGAGTGACCTCTGAAAAACAAAACCACAGCGAGGATTTAGAAACCTGCCATGAGAATGTGATTATACTGCAGCTACTATGGAAGGATCACATGGCAGGCTCTGAAAATATTAAAAGGAGAATTACTATGTAACTCAGCAACTCCATTGTTGAGTATGTATGCAAAAGAATTAAAAGTGGGGACATGGACCATTATTTGTACACTGACAGGCATAGCATTTCAACAGCCAGGAGGTGCATCATGGACTAAATTCTGTCACTCTGTTATAGGCAGCTGAGTTAGATAAAAAATATTATAGGCAGTCAGACAGGGGAAGACCCTCCAAGGAGCCAGCATAGAGAGGACCAGACACCTTGCAATCTTGCAGAAAACAGACGCCTCTACAGAAGGCCAGATCTCAACACAAAAGGCAAAACAATCGTAACTACACTTTAAACAAAGTAGTTGATATTCTAAATAGGTATGGATACCTTGAGGAAGCCAGGAGTCACCATCTGAATGCCCTATGGAAGAGTCACTGCTCTTTAAGTTTGCCTGCTTGCTATGAGACTCCCTCCCAATTTGTTCCCTAATTTGCTCAATTTTACTTGAACAATTAATCTTATTGGTTGACCATAGTTCTATCCCACCTCATGCCCACCTGCCTTGCCGGTTCCCATGTTTTCCCCATCTTAGACCCCTCCCACCTCATGGTTTTACTCTATAAAAGTCCCTAGAAAAGACAGAATCTTTGGCAACCCACTTGGGAGCCCTTCTATTTCTCTCAGACAAAAGCTTTCTCTCAATAAATACATTTTTCTCTTAACCTCCATTGATCCTGAAATTCGTTATTCAATTTTATTTTCTTTTATACTTCCTAAGTGTTTCTTCCCTTTCACTTTGATAATCTCTATTTTGTTTTTTGATCCTACTAACTACGTCTGTTTTTATGCTAGTATTCACCTGTATGAGTCCAAATTTCACCCATGAACATATGGGTGAAACCCATGACCAACAGTTGCATCCATTTACCTACAAGAACCTCGAGATTATTCTACTTTAGAGCTGGGTAACTTTTCCACTGTATGAAAATATCATATCTTTCTTATCCATTAAGTTACTCTTTTTTTCTGGGATGTTTTCCCAGCAGCTGAGTGTGGAGCAAGAGCTAGAGGTTACTGACAGGAGGTGCAGAAGGAGCAAGGGCACCACATTTCTGGGTCTCCTGTCACATGGAGCAACTGTTTTCTCTCCTTTTATTTTCAGTCTATGAATTTCCTTTCCAGTTAAAGATGTTTCTTGTATACAGTATCTTGATGGATCTTGTTTATTGATCCACTCTCCGTGTTTCTTTTTATTGCTGAATCAAGGCCATCTACATTAATGGTTACAACCAGCACACATTGGTTTGTCTCTGCCATGCTATCCTCCTGGTGTTGGCCCTCCACTTTTCACTGTCATTCAATAGCCTGTCTTGTTTGGTGAGCCTCCTCTGCTGCTGTTCCTGGAACCATGGTCATCTTTGTCTCTCTCTAGAATATGCTTTAGAATCCTCCATAGGGCAAGCTGGTTTGGTAGTCATGAATTCCTTCAGTTGTTCTTTATTATGGAAGTATCTTATTTTTCCATCAGTTTTGAAAGATAGTTTTGCAGGGTAGATCAATATGGGTTAGAAGTTGTTTTCTTTCAGGATTTGAAACACTTCACTCCAAACTCTTCTTGACTTGATGATTTTGTTAATAAGTCTGTTGTGATTCTGACTGGTTTTCCTTCATAGGTGATATGTTTATTTTTCTCTAACAGCTTTTAATATTCTGTTCCTATGCTGAATTTCTGAGATCTTGATTATTATATGTCTGGGTGTAGATTTAGTTTGGTTATGGCTTTTGGTTCTGTATGCTTCACTTTTCTGTAAACCAGATCCTTTTCCGTGTTTGGGAAGTTTTCTTCTATTACTTCTATACATAGCCTTTTAATTTCATTTGTGTTAACCTATCACTATTAAATTATGCTTCTTTGTGTCATCTTGCAGCCATTGAATTGTTATTTCCTAATTGTTATTTCCTAATTCTTTGTTATTTTTAAGAGATCTTTTTTTTTCCATGATCACTAGCTGTAATTCTATCTTCAAGTTTTGAAAGTCTATCTTCAATCTCTTTCAAGCAGTTTTGACAATTTTCAATTGACTTTTTAATTTCCTGGATCTCTCTTTGAGTCTGTTTCTTGCATTGTGATTCCTTCTATATTCATTCAAGGTTTCCATCATTTTCCTATGCTCCTCCTTTTTATATGTTTTCTTTAGATATGCTGAGCAATTCTTTCATTATGTTTGTGATTTCTGCCTTTACGTGAGACATTATTTCTGATTTAATTAATTATACTGTCTCATGAAGTTGTTTCATTACTTCAGTTGCTATCCTCTTGGAGATTTCATGTGTGTAACTTCCATTTTCTTCCATGACTGTGTCTCCCAGACTTGTTCTGTGTTGGCTGGAGGTCTGAGATTGCCTTTTGCTCTCATCTTGACATTCACCTGGGTTTCTCCCAACAAGCTGGCTGTGGGGCCTCAGGCACTTTCCACATTGGCTGTCCCTCTAAGGTATAGGGGAATGGGACAGACACCTGGTTTCCTCTGACACCAGATTTATAAGGAGGTAGCAGGGCATGGGGTGGGCTTCTCCAGACCTGGGCAGCCACACTGGGACTTCCCTGATGATCAGGGGTGCATGGAGGTTTAACTGCTTCTCTCAGCATGTGTGTCTATACTTGGATTCCTGCGATGGTGGCAGGCACCCAGCGGTGTGTTTGTCTGATTCTCCTCATGGGTGATGACTGCCCAAAAGAACTAAGGGCCTCCAGTGGTGGCCTACAGGTGCTCAGGCCTTACCTGACTGTGTGTCCCTGGACCTGCTTGCTGCCCACTGGAAGGGGCCTTCTGGTGGCAATGTTTGGCAGGCAGAGGCTTCGTCCTTCAATTTTAGAGAACACAAACTCATACCGGACATCTAGTAGGTTGGAAATTTCATTCCCTTATATCAATTCTACCATTCATATGTTCAAGCTCTACCCTCCAGTGTAACTGCATGCGGAGACAGGAACTTTAACAAGGTGGATAGAGTTAAATGAGGTCCCCTAGGGACCTCATAGTATAGTATGACTGCTTTACTTCCAGGAAGAAGAGAAGGTAAGATATTTGAAGTATTAAATTCTTAAAGACAGAGA